GGGAGGAAGGAAGGAAGGAAGGAAGGAAGGAAGGAAGGAAGGAAGGAAGGAAGGAAGGAAGGAAGGAAGGAAGGAAGGAAGGAAGGAAGGAAGGAGAAAAGGAAAAAAATCAGTCCAAACCTCAAACCAATACAAAAAGTAACTTAAAAGTGTTTACAGATCTAAATATAAACATAAACCTATAAAACTTAAAGAAAAGAAAACCTTCATGGCCTTGAGCTGTGCAAAAATTTCTTACGTATGACATCAATAGCTCTATCAATTAAAGAAAAATATAATAAAGTGAATTTCACCAAATTGGTTATTCTTGGCATTTTGGTTTTAGAAATACATTGCTATAAAGATAAAAGGCAGGCCACAAATTGGGAAAAAATTACTTGCAAATAATATATGTGATAAAAGAGCTGTATTCAGAATATATAAAGAACCCTCAAAACTCAATAATAAGAAAACAAACAACCCAATTTAAACAAACAAAAAGAACTGTTAAAAGATTTGAAATGACCAAAATTGTTAAAATTATTAAGCATGAGAGAAATTCAATTGACACCCACAACAAGATGCCATTAGAACTTCTAAAATTAAGACTCGATTATACCTAGTTGATGTAGGTAAAAATGTGGAGAAACTAGAATTCCGATACACTGTTGGTGGAAATATACTATGGTACAATGGTAAAACTACCTTAAGAAACAGTTAAGTAGTGCATTAAAATATTAAACATACCTATCATATGATCTGGCCATTTCTCTCCTAGGTATTTAGCCATGAGAAATAAAAGCAAATACACATACAAACACTTGCACATTAATGTTCATAGCAGTGTTAATTTGTAATTGCCCAAACCAGAAAGAACCTAAATGTCTAGGTAAATAAACAAATTGTTTTATACCCATTATTCTACAACATGCATATATCTCAAAATAATTATGTTGAATAAAAGAAGGCAAACAAATGAGTACATATTGTATGATTCCATTTTTATAAAACTAGAAAATGAAAATTAATTTATAATGAAAAAGATTAGTGGAGGAAGAAGAAGGGATGAAAAGAGCATGAGAAAACTTTTAAGAAAACTTAATAAGGAGCATAAGAAAACTTTTCATAGTGGTGGATATGCTCATAACTTGATTATGGTGACATTTTCATTGTATATACATGTAAGAACATACCAAATTGTACCCTTTAAATATACACAGTTTGTTGGAGTTTAATTATACAATATCTTGACATAGCGGTTTAAAAAAGAAATTTTTCTTGAGAAGTCATCACTGGAAATGGGTGAATCCTACAATCACTTGAAAACACACAATAAGAACTATATCTTCAGTAGTATTTAAAGAGTAAAGATATACTCATACAGCTAGAGACAAGTATGTCATAATCCACTATGATGGGGTCCTGGGCATATGGCACGGTTTACTCATTTTAAACATTTGTAAACTGGTAAGCCTCTGCACCAAAAGGTAGAGAGGGTAAAATAATAATCATTGTATTTTCATTCTTTCTACTAATTTGATTCTTAACCTTCTTTAATAAATTCAAAATTTCCCAAATCTGTGGAACCTGGAAGAAGTCTTACATATGTGTAAAAGCACATTTATAACATATTAAATCAAAACAATACTTTCCTAATTTTATTCATGCTAAAGTAAAACTGGTATTTATAGAGTCTTTTAGAATTGAGGTTTGGGGAAAAATAACTATGGACATATCCCCAAACTCCTTATTTTAATAAATTATTTTCTGCATTATCTTTAAAGAATCAATACAGTTGAATAAACTGAATATACATACAACAAAATCTAGCCAAAAACTTCATAAATAAAAATTAATATACATATTAAAAATACCATGGTTCAACACTTCCAATTATTTTTATAAAACATCAAAAAGCACCCTTTTGAACCAATGCAGTGATAAATTACTTGAAAAGACATTTTCTATTAACACAATTTGTATCTTTGCATATTATAATATACAGTACTAATTAATAACCAATGAAATAGTCATTACCTGAGTGCAAAACCAAATATCCAAAATAACACCAAGGACTTGTGATGAATTAGTTTAACCTCTAGTTATTAAATACAAATGTTTTATTAAAAAATAGTAATTTTTAAAAAAACTTAAACCATAATCAAATCAATAAAAAGTACATAGAAATCCCAACAAATGCCATTCAATCTACACTAAAGATGACAGTAAACTTTAACCCTATTTTAACAATTATTAAATGACTATTAAGTGTTAAACACCAAGATGCACATGATCATGTTAAAGAAAAATATTAATGCGAGTAACAGTGGAAAAAATTTGCATTATGCCTTATTTTTACATCTAATGACTGGGCCAAAATTCTTCTTTGCCATTTAAAGTCTAGTCTTTAAAATTTGGTTTATTATACTCACTATCCAGGAAACGTGTTTAATTCCCAAAATCTTCTTTAAATAATGCTAGTAAAATGCATATGTCATGTCACTGCCTAAACCCATTTGCATAAGCCAATCAAAATGAATAAGTACTTAAGGGGCATTGGTGAAAAATAACTTGTCACTATATAGGTCAGCTTTCTTATTAACAATAATAAAAACTGACATTTACAGAACACCATTTATACAGCAATTTCATATCGAGTCTCCAAACATTTATTCATTAATACATCCAATATTTCTAAGTGTTATTTGTGAAACATTCATCTCCATTTTACTGATTTATAAAGCCAAGCCCTATCTCATAAAATGACATGAATCTAGTGACTCTGTTTTCTAACACAGTCCATTTCTATCTGCTATGAAGAAGAGAAGAATAGAGTACATCTAGCATGAAATAGTTGAGCTACCTGGAGAGTGAAATATTCAATTGGCACTTTGGTCTTATCTATTCCCACCTTTTTATATGCGATCCAGTCAAACACCCTGTCAATATCTGTTGCCTGTAGCACTTCCTGTGATACTGGATGGGAACTGGCCAAACCGTCAAGCAGCATCACTTCATGCAGAACATCCGTCAGAAATCTCTGTTTTTCCTGCAATACAGTAGACAGGACAGTATTATAAGTGATTCATGGTTATGACAGAATGTTATGACAACATGAATGGTGTGTATGTCGCTTAATTGATGATGCTCATCAGTCTTGCATGGTGCTACTCAACTTTAAAGAGAACCCAGTAAATAAAATGCCCCTTAAGTTACTCGAAAATGAAGGTGGTTGGTTGATTTGAGCATAACGTGAAACAAAATCAATGGACTATAATAACCCCTAAATGGATAAAAACAGTGGACTATGTGCTTTAATAGTGTTGAAAGCAAATTTGGACAGTGGGAACACAGTAAAAATGATAAGATGCAGGCTTACTTGTGCATTCTAAAGGATCAAGACTACAATTCTAGTCTCAAATAACCTTTTCAGGTAAGTTCATTATAAGAATACTAACTATACTGCTATTTAACCACTTATTTCTAGTACCATTTGAACAGCTCATTTTCTCTCCTGGTCCCTCCGTCCATTCCTCTACCTTTACACACACACACACACACATTTATTTTCTGAAAGAATTTCAGAAGATCACAACAAATAATAAAAAGCACTATTGACATCAAGCTATAATATTGGTGGCTGTATTTGTTAATTTGGAATAATGGACATAAAGTAGAGATCAAAAGGTTATTAATAATCTATTACCATGAAGTAGTAAAAACAGACAAAATCATGAGACTTCTACACTTTGCATGCTGAGACATTAGTATTTACTCTAATAAAACCTGATTTGTTATATTAGAAGTAAACTGTAAAGAAAAAGTAATTCTCTGTTGTTTTTGTTTTAAGAAAGTCTGCTTTAAAGAAACAGATTAGGTTTTGTTAAAAGAAGTGCTGGCAGCTACTAGTCCCCCTGGCCTCCTGCCTTCATTGAAGGAAGAGGGAAAGAAAAAAGAAGTTGCAAGAGAAAACAAGGGCTAAATAGCCCCTAGATAGTTGGGACTCAAGGAATATCATTACAGAGGTTAAATACTCCACCACTTTAATTGCTCTAGCTAATTCCAAACTCACTTCTGAAGCCTCCTCATTTTGAGCCAGGAGATAAATAGCATGTTATTTCTGAGTGAGTTGTAATTTCAAGCTGAAATCACACTAATCCTGGATTTAAAGAAATAGAAATGAAAGATAAATATGCTAAGGAAAGAATAGTAAACTGGGCATATAAGTGTGTGTTAATTTCAATCTGGCTTTAAGAAACATTTTTCTTTAAAGATTTAAACTCAATGATTTAGTATATTTAATTAATATTTTAATTAATTAGCTTCCCAACTATAAACTATAAAGTTTCTTTTCTTTTTTTTTTTTTCCTTTTTGTCTTTTTTCATGTCCAGCAACGGATCGCAACCCTCAGTGTCGTGCCCGTACCAGACCAGGACCGGCAACGGGATCACAACCCTCAGCGTTGCACCTGCACCTCGCTCAGCCAGTGAGCGGGAACCAGTCTGTATGTGGGATCCGAACCCTCGGCGGGAGTGCCGCTGCACTCCCAAGCGGCGCACTGTAGCAGTGCGCCACCGGGCCGGCCCATAAAGTTTATTTTCTAATAGCTTATTTTTCATGGTCTATGGTCTATATATCTAATTTCTTCAGTCTTCTTTTGTTCTGAGAGTTTCACAGCACTGGTTTATGCCCCATCAAAGAGGACTACAGAGCAATGACTGAATCAAACTGCACTTTGAGTCACAGAGGGCTGATGCAGTCTGGAGGCCACAGATAAAAAGTGCAAACTGAAGACTGAATTAAGTGACAAATAAAACATAAACTAATATTATATTTTTTCTCAAATTAATTTTATAATTCAAGATAAATTAAGAGTAGAATTGGATCTTATGATTTAAGATACTAAGATTAAAAAGATCAGTATTTACATTGCTCATTTTAAGTACACTAAAAATCAACAATAAGATCTCAGAGAAATGGTTAGTCTTAGTGAATAAGGGAAAATCATGTATCAATTCCAAAATACAAACTTGAATGTTACTTTTGAACAGATACCCAGTTGTGTTATTCATTCAGTTTTAAAATGAACATTAAAATTATCTTATGTTTGAATTAATGGGAGAAATTATGAAATGTATAATTATACTTCACCTTGACCAGTGAACCCTTTTATTTAGAAGAAGTACCAGTTGAAGATGTGATTACATTCTGATGGTAAAGTAATATTCAGCTCTTCACATAGATTGCCTGCTCCATTACAAGTCATTCAAACACCTGGCCTAAAACCACAGTATAAAAAGAACTTAACATAATGTTTTATTTGAATCCTAATTTTAAATATTTAGTAATAAATATATATTGATCAATATAAAAATTTACTAAACATATCTTGGTTTGCTAAAGATATGATTTTTTTAAGTGGTATAAACTAAATGATTACGTAGTTTTAAAAAGAAAATGAAAAGTAAATTTAAAAGAGGAAACTTTCTTGTTAAAGAAAATATAAATTAAATATGATGTATTGCTTCATGCTTTCGGAGGAAAACAAAACTAAACCTTTGTCTACTCGGTAGAATTTCAATAAGCACGGGTAAAATTTAGTAGTATTAAGTCATTATCGAAAGATTCATCTTTTACCTTTTTGGATAGAATGTTACAGTGTAATTGAGAAAAAAACTTTATTTGTATAAATAGGTTAAGAGAATGAGAGAGAGAGAGAGAGAGAGAAGCCCGGCAGGAGAACACTTCACAAAGCCTAGAAAAGAGAATAACTTTAATTGAGGTGAAAAAAAGACCATTCTAGCCAGAGGCCAACCCAATTTAACAGAACTACAAAGAGCTTCCAGCAGAGAAGGTGCTAATTTTTTATAAAGACCTGCACCACTACAAAGTAAGAAATCATCTTAGATTTGCCAGTGCCTGGTTGGGACCTTTATCATCAAAATCAACATCAACAGCAAAACTTACCAAGTATTGATTAATTTCCCACTGTTCACTTGAGACTATGAAAGTTTTAAAATGAAGTTAAAGGAATCCTAACTCTAATGTGAGATAAAAGATAAAACAAAATAGTTGGCAATAGTGAATGAAATAATAGTTTTCTCTTACAGAATAGAAATGCTAAAGAAATTTTGGGCCGGCCCAGTGGCGCACTGCTACAGTGCGCCACTTGGGAGCGCGGTGGCGCTCCCGCCGAGGGTTCGGATCCCATGTACAGACCGGTTCCCGCTCACTGGCTGAGCGAGGTGCGGGAGCAACACCGAGGGTTGCGATCCCGTTGCCAGTCCCAGTCTGGCACGGGCGCGACACTGAGGGTTGCGATCCATTGCCGGACACGAAAAAAGACAAAAAGGAAAAAAAAAAAAAAAAGAAATGCTAAAGAAATTTTGAGAAAAACAATACTGTAAAATATAATTATTTGTGGAAAGTTTAATGGAAGAGTTAGAATTTTTTCTGACCCTTGAAGGAAAGTTGATGTTTGGGGTGTGTGGGTGTGTGTGTGTGCGCATGCGCGGGTGCATTGTGCACAGGAATTAATACATCTGTAGTGAATGTTCAATAGCTAGTTTTCATTTTACTTCATATTTTTAAGGTCACCATGATAGTCAATCTACCACTTTCGAAAAATGGCACAATAAGGCACAATAGAGAACTTTAAAATCTGTTTAAAAGACGTTCAATGTTAGTAGTAACCATAAATTCTACCTCCTAATACAGACACTACTTAGAGTTGCTGTATATGTGCCTATATTTAAACAGTTACAGTAATATGAAATGTGTCATTTTGTTTTTAACTATTTTCAAAAATATTTTACATTTTAATTTTTGGAGAACAGTGCAAAGAGATTTCAGAAAAGTAAAGAAAATGTGAGTAAATGTGGAGTTGATAATGAACACCATGGAAAAGAAAGCTGCCATTATTTTATTTATTCATTCATTTATTTAACAAAAATGTATTAGATTCCTACTCTAAGCCAGATATTGTACTGCATTTAGAGTATCAAAAGATGACTAAAACCTTGTCTCTAACCTTAAAAAATGCAGGAGTAGAAGAGAAAGTACAAGAGGAAGACAGATAAACAGCAAACTGTATTATAAGATGATGGATGCTATAAAACACAGAGGATAAAATGATTAGTTAGTTTAGAAAAGCCTTCACAGAGGAGGCGACATTAAAATGGGTTGTTGAAGGATGAGGGGTTACTCAAATAAATGGGTGAAACAACTAAAAAAAAAAAACGGGCAAATCCAAGCAGAGGAAATATGAAAAAAAGACACTCTGCTTAATCCTCAATTATTAGGTTGAAGAGTTTGGTCTTAATAAATAGGCAGTAGCAGGCATAATGACATGATAAAAGTCATGTCTTAGGAAAATTAACTTATCTGCATTATACAGGATGGCTTGATGTATTCAGAGACCAGAGACAGGAAGTAGGATGTGGTGATGAATTACAACAAGGTGTTGCTGAAGGACTATTGTATCCCAGAGATATTTAAATGAAATAATCAACCAACACTGATGCTTTGATGCCATGGTCCCCTTAATGGATAATGAAAGGAAACACTTAAAGACAAATACATGGATTTTAGACTTGATTTTAAAAAAAGACCAAAAAACCAAAACAAAAAAAAAAAAAACCAACAACAACAAAAACCTTGGGAGGAACTATGGAGAAGTGGAAAAAGCTTGGCTCAGAGCACAAGCTAAAAAAATCAGTTTTAAAGATTTTGCAAAGAAAATGACAGTGAATATCTAAAAAGAGATGTGCTACAGGCATCTGAAAGCAAAACCCTGGGTCTAACGTAAGTGGCAAGTGCTAAAAATCTTTTGGCAATAAATAATAGTCTGTGTAGAAATATAAATGCAGTCTCAGAGAAAATCCACTCCTTTTTCAAAAATCATTTCTTATAATATTTGCATTTTGTATATTGGTATTTAGTGGTATATGTGAAGGAAATTGTTAATAATTATTATCAAAGCATTAAATACAACTGAGAAATTATATTCTTCTATGTCTCAAAATGGCTTCTGTCTGAAGGTGTCAAAG